TCATATCCATTTGTAGTGTTGTAGACCTGTATTTAATTTGCAAATTGTTCCCACTGGGGAGTATGGAGCAAGTATCTACCACGCATTTGCTTCTGTATGTTATTCAAACCGTACACTGTTCACGATTGTCTCCAAACAACCGAATGTGTCGGATCGCTCCTATACCTTACGGCACGTGTATATAGCTAGAGGTGCGAATGGACTATAGGTCAACTTCTCCCCGCAGACCACAGCCAACATTTTAACTCGGTTTTTTTTCTTTGGTTTAATCACAGATGCGTCTGGGCGAACTCAGGATAGCCAAAATCCTCTGCACGGACGGTCTAGCGCTGTGTGAGAAGTATCCTACAGAGCGCAACCAGAGTTTCTTGAAGGATCTAGCGTCATGCCACATCCTACTAGCAAGGTAGTTGCATATATACCAACCTCATAGGCGGTGTCACTATGTGTATGTGTGTTGTGTGTGATGTGTATGGGGTTGTTGGCTGTGTTTCCGCCTAGAACCTTGCACAAGGGCAGTCTGTGTATGTGCAGAGTATTCGGCGGACCATAGCCAGAAACTCCAGGGCGAGCGTGCCCTACACTTCACCTTTCTGGACAAGTGACACACATATAGCACCCACAGGAGTGTTTTCCAACATCATTACTGTTGCATCGATCCGTTCTGTGCGAATGTGCTGTGGCGTATGTGTGTCTGATTTTGCGAACGAATACACTCTGCGTGAGTGGCACCATACGGGCCGTAGACACGAGCGACCTTTCTACGCTACGCTCCGCGGAGGGCCAATGTTAAAGTATTGGTTAGCGTTGGAGGACGTTAGCGCTTTTGTAGCTCGAGGGATAGAAAGTAAAGTATTAGTTAGCGCTATCGTGATCGGTTTGCGCCCCGCGGAGGGCAAATTTAACTTTGCGATCTCATGAGCTAAAATTTTACGCTGCGCCGAACGGAAACACCCCCCCCCCCACCCCCCCTTCCGAGTATCGGGGGAGGGTGCATTTATTATTTTCAATCTCGCTTATGCCTCATCCCAAGTGCAAGGACATGTATGAATCGTTTCAACGTATTGTCTTACTTGTTGTATATGTGCGTATTGTATCGTATGTGCTGGGTTTGGTGTGTGTTGTTCTCCTGCTGTATTTGTCAGTGACATGTATTGCAACAGACGCGCGAAGCTGTGTCGATATTTTCGAAACAACTTGACTGCGAATTCCTCCATAATTGTCCTCTGTACAGAACAGTATGCATACAGCTACTTATACCCGTCTCTGTGTATGTATAGCTCAGATGGTAACGAGCGCGCAAAACTCTATCAAGCTTGCTTCTGAGCCATTTATTACTAACTTGAACCGCACACTTTAGTCAATCATCTTTTATGCCCCGTATACGTGCATGCATCGTGTTTGTCCCCGTGTATATCCCCATTCGTATATACATGCGTGTATGATATTGTATGTTATATATACACATACACACACAATCGCAAATATGACAATATTTGTGCGTGCGCTGATCCAGATTGGCTCAAATGCATATGTATACATAAACTTGTATATATGTACATACTCACATACAACTATTGTTATTGTCATACATTCACATACAACCATAGACTCATGCACATAAATACATGTATATTCGCCGATGTAGGTTGCAACAGGCGCACAAGGCCGTCTCGAGCTGGTGTGCGGAGACCTTTGAGATAAACCTCACTGGAAACGATGGCGATGGAGATAGCGCACAGGCACTAAACACTGTAGAGAGTGACATAGTTCTGCTCAAGCAGCATTGTCCGGAGAGTGTGCTGTACAAACTGTTCCACGTGCGGTGTTTGGGCCATGGCATGGTCAAGTACGATGAGGCTGTGGAACTAGTTGAGGAGTTAGTCATGAGGTGTGTATCAATGGTGTGGGGGTAGGGATGGTTTGTTTGTTGTACATATCGTGTTTTGTGCGCTGTTTGACATATGCAACGCGCAAGTACGATGAGGCTGAGGAACTAGTTGAAGAATTGGTCATAGGGTATGTTTTAGAGGCCTGGGTAGATTTTTTTTTGGGTCTATTGGTTTCATTGTTGGGTGTGTCTGGCTGTGCAATGGGCAAGTACGGTGAACTTGTGGAGTTTTAAAAATTTGTCAGGAATTTTTATATAGTGTGTTGAAAGGGACTTGCTAGGCTCAGTACTACGTTGAAGAATCAGCTGAATTAGATGAATTAGTTGAATTAGTTGAGGGGTATGACTTCGTTTGAACTGTATTGGTTTAAGCCTGTGGTGCTCGGGGTCAAGTTAGCGTGCAGCGCTTGGTGTTGGCCTAAACTTTTGTTATAGTGCCAGAACGTCAGAGCGAATCATACGTACTGAAGAAAAATACAGTATATTCATCACTGGATTTCATCGGACACTTCATCCCAATGACTTTGCAACTTTGGATTTCGAGTGATCCTATCCTTCGGTAGATGTGTAGCGTGCTATTACAGCATATATCAGTCCGCGGAGATTAGCTCTAGGAAATTTGAAATGTTGAACCTGAATCATTTTTTATTTTTGCTTCAAAACTCCGATTATTCACATTTCAATTTCCTTTCGAAATAAATACCAAAAGTCACCCAGGGAATTTGGGAGTGTATACTGAAGCCGCTAACTGTTATCTCGAAAGCGTCGAATTTGAGAAATGCGAAAATATTATTTCTGCGGCGTTCAATGGACTCAACAAACAGGCTGACAACGATAGGGATGCTTTCACCGGATATGTGAGTGTGTGACGATTTTTTGGTGTGTTACATACAATTAAGTGTTCCATATACATTTAC